ATTAAGAAATGTATTCTCCCAATATTCCTTGTATATAACATCAGAATTCTTCTCAAAATGCCCTTTTGGAATTTTCTTCAAAATTTCCTCAGATTTTCTAGGAGCACTACTCATAGTTCCTTCGGAAATGTGCGCAACATTTTTTGTCAAACCCTTCCAGAAACTCCTTGAAACTTTCTCGAAATTCTTATCAATTCTCTTAGGAATTCTCTTGAAACTATCAAACTATCTAAAATTTGCTAAGAATTTATGAGCTATTTTCAGAAATAGATTATTTCAGGATTGTAGTCATGCAGTTCAGATTGTCGAAATGATAATTTACTTTTAAGGAAAGAGGCTCCGAATTCCAGTAGAGTGATCCCTGAAATCCTTTCGATTTGTTTAGAGTTCCCTGGAATTAGAATCATAATTCCCATAATAGTCTCTTCAGAACTATCTTAAAACTTGTCATTACAATTTTCAAAAGAAAAAATCTAAAAATGTCCTGAAATTTCTTACCAAATTCAATTGCAATTCTCCACCTTTAGAATTATTCGTAAATTTCCTCTTCAACTATCCTCTAAATTTATTTGGCATTCTCATCGTAATTCTCTAGTCTTCATAGCAAAGAAGAATAGCAAGATGAAACTGTCAGGAGAAAAAACATTATATTTTAGAGTCCTCTTTTGCGGTCCCTTTCATCCAATGAATACCCCCCGTATGCAAAATGTTTTTTTGTGGTTATGCTGCCCCCTGGGATGAGTTGAAATTATGCGCTTTTTTAATCAAAACAATCAAACCCAAAATCAGAGATATCCCATTTCTTAATTGTTCAATTAACAACAAATCAATTATTTTTTGTTCGCTGTGCTGTCATTTTCCCACCAATGAGATTGCAGAACAGGCTTGAAACTATGGGTGATGATCCTCTGGAGAAGTTAATGCTCATATCGGCGTGATATAACCGACAACAAATATTTTACTTTTCGGTTCGTTAATAGATTAATCTGTTCGAATGAAAATCGAACATCACTATATGAATGTGAAACGTCATTTCAAATAGGAGAAACAGCCCTATTACTGCGGTACGTTAGCAGCGTTAGAAGCCTATTGTTGTGTATGGAGGTCTCCATACACAACAATAAGCTTCTAACGCTGCTAACGTACCGCAACAATAGGACTGTTCATTAATAATGAGACCTGACCATTAATAATGAGGGGCGTCATAGCCTAGTCAGTAAAGGCACGGTATTACCAAGCCGGAGGTGGCTGGTTCGATTCTCGGTCCTGTCGAGGGAATCTTTCGGGTTGGAAATTTTCTCGACTTCCCTGGGCCCCCTCCCAAATTGGTAATTGGCATGGAAAGCTCTCAATTAATAACTGAGGAAGTGCATTTAGAACACTAAGTTGAGAGCACGCAATAAGCTAATATACACTGCGAATAAGAAGAAGAAGAAGAATAATTTGATAAATTGAAAGGGACACCGGGGCTAATCACAAATTACGTTCCCATGGTAACTGAAATAAACACGAGTGTTGACCGGTTGTTCATAGTGTCAGAATCCTACAATAGTCCAAAAATCAAAGTCCAACAGCCACATATTTTTTTTAAATCTGAGATCTTTTTTAATACGCAACACAGGGCAGTCTTAACCCTATTTGCGGCCCTGATCTATTGTTTATTGTGGGGCTCCCTATTTTTTTTTTGATTTTGAGTTATTATTTTTTTAGTTACCAATGTTTTGGGTGTTCAATAATCCTATGCTAGACTACCATGATTCTCCTTTGATACATAGCTAACATAGTCATATAATCTAAGTCATAAGTCTAGTCGCATAGGAGTATTGAACGAAAACCCAAAACTTGATAACTTAAAAATATATATATAGGGTAGAGAACTACTGCGGCCTAAGCGCCCATTTTGGGCCTATCAAGCAGAAAACATCAAATAAATCCATGATTTCAGCGTTAACAGGTAAATAATGCGTTTGGTACGATACTTTAAATCAAATGCTACCGAACGAAGTCAATAAGAACGCGAGATATGAATGTTCGCACCCAATATTATCAAATACAAATGAAGCGCTCCGAACGAATCAAACTTTATCTTCATCCGATAGGCCGAAGTGAATTCATTGGCGTTTCAATGGCGTTTCAATGCGTTAAGCCGAGTTTAGAATCCGTAGGCCGAGTTTGGCGTCAAGAAGCAGTGTTAGACTTTTGACAATATCTCAACGATTGGTTTCTCTTTATCAAATCTTACGGTACGTACGGAGAGGTAAATAAATTTGGAAGCCATCAGTAATAACAACATTCCGTTTGGTGCTAAACTGCGCTAGATTAAAAAGACTAAGTGTGGGTTGTGCTTAATAGGCCGAAAATGGGGTAATTAACCCTATTTACAATTTATTTACGAAATTTTGAGAACCACTATATCTTTTTGCTATGGAATGGCTATATAACTAGATACATTTAAAAATTCCGAGTCTTTTAAGAATATATCAAATTTTGGACTCCATAAAATTATCTAAATTATGGAGTATAATTTGACCTTTTTTTTGCGATCTTTTTTTTTATCTAGTTCGTTTATTTGGAAGGCTCAATCGCGTTAGCTTTACGGAGCCGATAATTAATTGTTCACTGTGTGTAACAAAATTCACTTAATTCTATGTCTAGTAGGAGTTGGGCCGATTACTCGCGGCTTACTCGAGGTTAGAAGGGTACATTTTCGAAGGATAGGATCAGGGGAGGAGCTTGGGGTAGGGTTTCGTTGTCTCATCAGAGCGTTGTCGCCAGTATGAACGGTAGTGCTGTTCTAGCTTCGTCCGGAGTTCGACCGGCTATGGTGGGTGACCAGTGGGCGACGATGAGACTCATCGAGACGGGGGGACAAGACAAACAAAAACTAATAAAGAGAGGCAAAAGACAAAAGGAATTAAATTCTTATACTAGACATTTGAAGAAAAACATAAACGGACTGCATATAGCAGAGATCACGGGTTGCCAACACGTCTCTGATAGGAACATAGGGTTGTCTTCCTTGGGCCTCGAGGGTATTCAAAAGTCGCTCTCTGGTGGCGTCATTATCCGTACATTGCCAAACTGCGTGTTCGATGTCATCGTAACCGTTTCCACACCGACAGATGTTGCTGTCCTCGAGGTTTATTCTATTGAGATGAGCATCTAGCGAGTAGTGGTTGGACATAAGTCTACTCATCACGCGAATGAAGTCACGACTTAAGCCCAAGCCTTTAAACCACGCTCTCGAAGAAACATTAGGAATAATTGAATGTAACCACCGTCCAAGATTTCCAGTGTCTCAATCGGTTTGCCAACTCGAAAAGGTACTCTGACGCACAAAATGGTAAAATTCATCGTGTGAAATTTGCCTGTCATACAATTCGCCTTCCTGCGCGCCCACCTTTGCGAGAGAGTCCGCCTTCTCATTGCCTGGGATTGAGCAATGTGAGGGGACCCATACAAAGGTAATCATATATGATCTTTCGACCAGCACACACATCTGCTCCCTTACCTTTGAAAGGAAATAAGATGAGTGCCTACCTTGTTTCATCGACCGAATAGCCTCAATCGAACTGAGACTATCCGAGAAAATGAAGTAATGGTCTGCGGGCATGTTGGAAATCATCCCCAATGCGAAGTTGATTGCTGCCAGCTCAGCAACAAAAACGGAACAAGGTTCCTGGAGTTTGCGGAAGGCGCTAGAGTTTTCATTGAAGACACCGAAGCCAGTGGATCCACTGAGACGAGACCCGTCTGTAAAATATCTTTTCATGCAATTGACTTGTTGGTACTTTTCAGTAAAAATACGCGGAATAATAATAGGTCGAAGTTGATCGGGAATCCCATGAGTTGCTTGTTTCATGGTCAGATCATATTCAATTGAGGAACTGCGATTGGTGAAGTGAACACGGTCTGGAGTATAACAAGGAAGACACATATCTGATGATATGTAGTGGTGGTAGATTCTCATAAATCGAGATTGTGTGTTCAGCCCAAGAATTTCTTCAAAATTAGCAATTATAAGTGTGTTCGTCACTCCGCATTTGATTAGTATTCTGAGAGAGAGCTCCCAGAAACGGTTCTGGAGGGGTGTTACTCCTGCCAGAACCTCGAGACTCATGTTATGCGTTGAGTGCATACAGCCTAGAGCAATACGCAGACAACGATATTGAATTCGTTCCAATTTTATTAGGTGACTTTTTCTTGCCGAGAGAAAGCAGAAAGAGCCGTACTCTAGAACAGAGAGAATAGTTGTTTTATAAAGCGTTATGAGGTCTCCCGGATGAGCACCCCACCATGTGCCGCAAATTGAACGGAGAAAGTTGATCCTCTGCTGACATTTTTGCTTCAAATACGTAATATGGGTATTCCAAGTGCACTTTGAATCAAACCAGACCCCAAGGTACTTGAAAGACAATGATTGAGTAATGTTTCTGCCCAAAAGATTAAGCTGCATTTGGGCTGGGTACCGCTTTCGAGTAAACACTACCAGTTCAGTTTTCTGCGGCGAGAATTCGATCCCTAGATTCATAGCCCAAGAAGACAAGTTATCTAAGGAATTTTGCAATGGTCCTTGCAAGTCCACGGCATGTGGACCTCTTACGGAAACCACACCGTCATCTGCAAGTTGTCTTAGCGTGCATTGTTCTGCCAAACAGTTGTCGATATCTTTGACGTAAAAGTTATAAAGAAGAGGGCTGAGACATGAGCCTTGGGGCAGGCCCATGTAACTAGTTTTTGCGATCTTGAAACCTCATAAATTTTCAAAATTCCGATCTTGAAACCTAATAAATTTTCAACATTCCGAAAATTTATTTTGTGCTTTCAATAGTGGGGAGAGAGTGCATTTCTCCGGTTTTCTGCATTTAAAATAAAATGCTGTCACTTTTCAGTGGCATAAATTGCTGGAATCAGGTTATGGTTGCACTGGATTGCAGTCTTGTCTGAGATCTCATTTATGGTGGAGAGTTTATTAAACCATATTTTCTCCTCACTTCCAGGTATGACTTCTTCAACGGTGAATACAACGGGTGGAAGAACTCCGTCCGGCACAACCTTAGTCTGAACGAGTGCTTCAAGAAGCTGCCGAAAGAGTGCGGCAAACCGGGCAAGGGCCACTACTGGACCATCGATGCTTCGGCCGAGTACATGTTCGAAGATGAGGGAAGTCTACGGCGGCGGCCACGTGGCTTCCGCCGGAAGCAACAGTTGAAAGCCTACACCGGTGGCAGTGCGTTCTATCCGGCTGGGAGCGGAGGGTACGAAATTTCCGTTCCCGAACTACCGAGCGGTTACATCTCGCAGCCGTACGCTTCGTACGACTATCCGAACGCAAATGGGCAGACATTTGGCGCGGATTCGTGGCACTACCCGTCGGAAGGTCTGAGTCAGTATTCGAAAATCACCCACACCTCCCTGCACGATCATCAGCCGCCTCCGGGCTCGCCGGGACAACAACAGCAGCAGCAGCAGAACCAAGGCTCAAGTGTACTGGATTATGGCAATTACTCGTTCGCTGCCAGTTCGTACAACATCGATAATGGTAAGTGTTTCGGGTGTGCGTTTCTGTGTATGATTTCAGTAGAATGGATTCTTTGTTTTAAGCTAGCGAGTAGATCACGAAGCTACTAGGAATCTTAATCGATGTCGAATGTGCCCTGTTGACAGTTTCGCTTATTGTTGCCTCGACCTTCCCGTTTAGGTCGTTAATCTTTTGACGAGAGACGGAAGAATCGTAATTCATTCAGACAAGCGCGTATGCAACAAGTTGTCGTTTAAGCCGAGGGGAATAAAATGAATATTTAGTGAAAGATGAATGGATAGCAGATATTCGGGGGGTGCGAAAATGTTGGATATTATTTGATGAAAGAATTGGGTTCTTTAAGTTTGAAAAATATATCGGTTACTATACACGGAGATGAAAACCTACACAAAATTAAGTACTTTTCCCTCTATTCCCGGGTTCAGCCCAATAGCCCAAATTTGAGTAAATCGCATATAGTACTTTCCATTTAAAACCAGCAAAAAATTACTTTCTCTTAAGTATATTCTATCTAAAATTAAGTTTAATTCACGTTAATTTGAGAATATGTAATTTACTCAAAAGTAACTTATTGGGCTGAACTATATCGTTGGGTCGAATCTCTTGTTCCTTTGACAACAATAACGAGTGCAAGTGAAAGGCTCAACTCAAAAATAAGCAAAAAAAACCTCAAATTGTTGGTATTTTTTTTCTCCGTGTACATCATCTGAAAGGGCTTTGTTTTTTGAGCGCAACGATAATTTTTTGATCCCATTTACTTCCATCTCTATTTTTAAATCAAAATTTAATGCAAATTAACCACTTCATTGTTTCACATAAAACTTACAAATTGACAGCTTGCTCCCATACACGGCTCAGTACTGCGAACTAACTCAAAATGCTTGTCATCTGGGAGCCGAGTCAAACTGTCGAACGGGAGCCAAACATTCAAAAGAGTTCAGAAGTTATGTGGGTAGTTACTGTTTCAACCACAAGTAAAGGTATCGCCACCTACTGAAAACAAATTAAGAATTATAATTATGAATCCGTCGAAACATCAACCTTAGTAGGCGGAAAATGTAAATCATCGAGCGTGATGCTCGAATAAGTGTTTTCATTTGATATTAATAATAATGCCAAAACTGGGTTACAAATCGCTGCAACAAGAATTTAATCAAACTTTATAAGAGTCATGTGAGCTTTGTGGGCAGGTGCACTCCCAACACCATGTATACGTTATTTGTGGAGCAGAGAAGGAGGAGCTAAGAGTTCATTTGACAGCATATATATACAATTTTGTGAGTTGTTTCAGCAAAACAATTTGAAGCTTCGAAAGATTTTCAAGATGTTTTCTTGCTCTCTTGAAAAATTTAATCCGACAGAGTTCGCAATACCCAGATACACGGTATCAGTAAAATACCCAATAAAGACTATAAAAGACTCGATATTACCTACAAAGTAAGCATTTTCGAGAGAGGCGGCGACTACCCATTAAATGAGTAAAAAAAATACCCATTTATGAGTATTTGTTACTCACAAATAAATACTTATTACTTATTTCTGTAGTTGCAATTCCTCAAAAATGGGTAAAAATTTAATGAGTAGTTCGAGTATCACTTGAAAATGCTTATTTTGTAGTCATTATAGGGTATTTTATGGTTACCATGTACAAAGTGCCACCGAGGGGCGCTAAGATGGTAATTTTTGCTTATGATATCACACTTATTTAAAGCAGTTCTAGTGCTCCAAAATTAATAAAATTTTGGAATTCGGCTCCATCCCGGATAAACGCGAACCATAACTTGGCCTTACCAAAAATGGTTAAAAACTGTTTATAATCCCTGCTAAACTTTAACTGAAATGGTTATGGAACTTTACATGAACGATTGTGTGGTAAAGTTTTAACCTTATGTATTAAGGTTTTTTGGAAGTGAACCTTACGAATAATGGGTTGTTAACTCAATACCCATAAAGAACCCAATTGCAACCTACATATATTGTAACTGGAATAATATAAGAAATTTGGTTCTTTAAAGTTGAAAAATTATTTGTTTTTATATACATTATCTGAAAGTGCTTGGTTTTCTGAGTACAACGATTTTTTTTTTTTTGAACTCGTAGACTTTCATCTCGATTTTTAAATAAAGATTTATAGCAAAATAATAACTTCACTGTTTGACAGTAAACTTTCAAATTGACAGCTCGCTCCCTTACAAAGTCCCACCGAGGGGCGCTAAGATGGTGTTTTTTTTTTCTAATGTAATCATACTGATTTAAATTAGTTTCAGTGCTGAAATTTTGGATTTCGGTTCCATTTTTAATGCAGATAACGATTATGCATTTACCTCGATACCCTTAAAGAACCCAATTGGGTTCTTAAAGGGCATTGAGGTAAATGCATATTCGTAATTAGCATTAAAAATGAAACCCAAACCTAAAATTTCATCAATTTTGGTACACTGAAACTATTTTAAATAAGAACTATTATATTTGCAAAAATCACCTTATTAGCGCCCCTCGATGTCACGTTGTATGGAAGCTAGCTGTTAGTTTGTCAGTTTAGCGTCAAACAGTGAAGTTATTATTTTGCTTTAAATCTTGATTAAAAATCGAGATGAAAGCGTGTGGGTTTGAAAAAAAAATATCGCTGTGCTAAGAAAACGAAGCTCTTTCAGATGATATATAAAAACCGATATATTTTTCTGGGCCTCCCTTAGCTCAGTCGGTAAAGGCGCAGCTACAAAGCAAGACCATGCTGGAGGTGGCTGGATTCAATTCCCGATCCAGTCTAGGAATTTTTCGGGTTGGAAAATTTCTCGACTTCCCTGGGCATGATTGGACTTGCCACACAATTATACCAATGCAAAAATGGTACAGGCATCGAAAGCTCTCAATTAATAACTGTGGAAGTGCATCTAGAACACTAAGTTGAGAGCACGCAATAAGCTAATATGCGATATCCAATAAGCTTGAAATGCGAAGAAGAAGAAGAATATTTTTCAAAATTTAAGAACCCATTTAGAGAGTGGAGATGCATTGATTAAAAAGTCTACCTAATTGATTTTTGGTGAACAAGCATTTAAAACCCTTAAATTTGAATAACCCACCACTTTTCTTAAAATTTTAACTGTCCGGGTTCCATAATTTTGAAAAAAAAATAACGGTTTTTAAATATAATAGAGCTTCGTTTTCTGCGCACAACGATTTTTTTTTTCGAACACAAAAACATTCATCTCGATTTGTAAATCAAGATTTAAAGCAACAATAAACTAATAAATTGACAGCTCGCTCCAGTACAAAGTCCCACCGAGGGCGCTAAAATGGTGATTTTTGTTAATGCTATCACATTTATTTAAAATCGTTCAGGTGCTCCAAATTGATGAAATTTTGGATTTCGCTTTCATTTGTCATACAGATTAGAAACATGCAATTACCTCAATACCCAAGGGGCAATCAACTCTGCACACTGTGCCGAAACACAGCATGGACACATCAAGGCACACTTTGATAAGTAGGACACAAACAATATAATATAAAATGGCATCACTGTTCAGTGTTGACATTTTGCCAATCGTTGCTAAGGTTTACTACTCGGTTCAATACTTTGTTTACTCACAAATGAAGCTCGTGAGAGGGTGTCATACATAAAACCTAGGATCATAAAACTGGTGATACAAGGATTTAATCAATTTAAAAACAACAAACGTGTACCCACCAGTGTTGAGGATCTTTCGAAAAATTCTGTAAGTATTGTCTGAATCGTAAATCTTTTCAAACCTAGCAAAACTAAGTCCGTCCCTTCCTGATCACAGCACAAATCTCAGCGGATCGTGTTTTTATCTAGCACAGCTTCTATTTGGGCCTCACTTCAGTCGAGTTCATCTACACGCTAGAGACGCTAGACTCGGAGAACATTCTTGACGGAACCAATGTTAACATAGCTGCACAGACATTCTGTCATATTCTTTCATATGTGATCGACCGACATGTTCCCAAGAAGACGGTAGCCGTTGGTCGTACCCCATGGCTCACTCCCGAACTCCGAAGGCTGAAAAGACAAAAGAGAGCCACCCTAAGAAGATTTTCGGAAAACAAGAGTGTATCGCTGCGTGACCACTACGTGAAGTTGAACATAATCTATAAACGCGTTAGCAAGAGATGTTATATTCGATATCAGACGGGCTTACAACGACGACTCAAATCCCATCCACAATCTTTTTGGTATTATGTCAAACAGCAACGTAACGAGTGTGACTTGCCTCCTTCAATGAAGTGGAATGGGACCGTAGCCTCTGAACCACAAGAAATATGTGATATGTTTTCCTCGAAGTTTTCTAGGATTTACTCCAACGAATTGCTATCCGATTGACAAATATCATCAGCATCTAGTAACACACAGCCGCCAGGGCTAGCTATGCCTGAAGTCACTGTCAACAATAATGCGATTATGGCAGCTGCACGTAAACTAAAAGTGTCAACGTGCTTAGGTCCCAATGGAATTCCGTCGGTGTTTTTAAAGAACTGCATTGACAGCTTGCTCGAGCCACTTCAAGTGATCTTCAGCTTGTCGCTTTCATCCGGAGTGTTTCCGTCCTGCTGGAAACGTGCATACATGTTCCCTGTACACAAAAACGGCGATAGCAAGAATGTTGATAATTATCGCGGAATATCCTCGTTATGCACTGTTTCCAAACTCTTTGAGCTTGTTGTGATGGACCAATTATTCTTTCATTGCAAGCAAATTTTAAGCCCAGACCAGCATGGTTTCATTCCCGGTCGTTCAACCGCATCAAACCTTTTATGTCTCAGTTCTTACGTAACCGACAGTATGCTTGAACGAGCACAAACGGATGTACTATATTTGGACTTATCCGCAGCATTCGATAAGGTCAACCATCAAATTGCTGTAGCGAAGCTTGGAAAGCTTGGAATTCATGGAACTCTTTTGGATTGTTTCCAGTCCTACTTGAACGGTCGTCGCTCGGAAGTAGTCATCGGCGAATCCACTTCAGCTTCATTTCCAATCACGTCAGGGATTCCGCAGAGAAGTCATCTTGGACCACTCATCTTCCTTTTATATTTCAACGATGTCAATGCAGTGCTGGACGGACCAAGGCTTTCGTTTGCTGATGACTTCAAGCTATATTTCAAGATTCGTTCTGAGGCTGACGCTCAGTTTCTACAACAACTTGATGCATTCGCTCATTGGTGCCAGATGAATCGTATGACCGTAAATCCTGCGAAATGCTCAGTTATTACGTTTTCTCGACTGAAAGATCCAAAACTCCACGATTATTCATTTTCTGTAGTACCACTGGTAAGAGTGAACGAAATCAAGGACTTGGGAATTATCCTCGACTCCCAGTTGACCTTCAAGCAGCACGTGTCGTTCTTAGTGAATAAAGCTTCAAAATCTCTAGGCTTTATCTTCCGGTTAACAAAAAAGTTCGCGGACATTTACTGTCTAAAGACGCTCTACTGTGCATCAGTTCGGTCGACATTGGAGTACTGTTCGACTGTTTGGAGCCCTCACTACCAAAATGGAATCGTAAGAATAGAATCAGTGCAACGGCGGTTTATTCGATTCGCATTTTGTTGACTGCCATGGCGGGATCCATTTCGTCTTCCAAACTACAAGCACCGATGTCAGCTAATTCGTCTGGATACACTTAGTACACGAAGAGACGTTGCTAAGGCTATGCTGGTTTCTGATGTCTTGCTGGGTCGAGTTGATGGTCCTGAAATCCTACAACGAATCAACTTGTATGTGCGACCAAGATCTCTACGGAACAATGCGATTCTACGACCTCAACCTCACCGCACCAACTATGGAATGAACAGTGCCATTACTGGGATACAGAGAGTATTCAACCGGGTTGCCAGTCAATTTGATTTTAAAGTTCCGCGTGACTTGCTACGTGCTAGATTTCTTAATGTTTTTAGATAACTTGAAACATATGGGTAGTTTTAATGTATATTAATTTAGTTCATTGGCAACAACTTATCCATCATTGGGGCCAAGAAGCCTGTTGATGAAGAAATAATAAATAAATAAACACCTACGCTATGCTATTATTCGTACGAAAAGAACTACGAAGAAACTATAAGCATCGATCATGATGAATCCTCACATTCAGTATTGGAAAAGTTCACCAAAACTCAATACGACTCGACTCGCGATTTCCTTGATGAACTTCGTGGAATATCGCCAACATGGTTTACCCTAGAGAGGGTGTAGTATAAGAGAGGAGTGGATTCAAAACAAACTGCCTTGACAACCTATGCCTAGGTGGTTTCTAGCAACACTGCCAATGCAATCAAGATAGGCGCTGCTCGATTGGCTTTGGCAGTTCGTTTGGATCAAAACCAGCCAGTCCACTCCTCTCTTATACTAAACCCTCTCTAGTTTACCCAAAGGTCACCCATGGAAGCGTTATTCCAGAATACAGTTCTTATTTTTGAACGCAGCATTTTATACGAAGCGTACAACGAAGGATCAGAGCAGGATCTTCTGCGAGAGTTGAGGTGCATTAACAATTTTACTATGCAGAATGGAAAATAAAGAAGCATACAAGCTTATCATAGGGGGTGGCCAGATTTGAATCACGGTCACGGAAATTTTCACATTTTCTCCTGTGTTTTTCCTCGGATATTCTTGTTAGTCATTAGTCTTAATTGGCATGGACTTCAATGGCATGACCACCGGACTTTATAGGGATGGCCATAGAATGCTATAAGTTCTTGAATCAAGAATCGCCCATGTCTGTCATCTGTGTGGAGCTGAGTGGATTGGGCGGAATATTCTATAAAGACCTACAGGCGCCGGATAAAGTGCTTCCGCTGAAGTTTGCGGTGGCCGAGAATCCTATTTTCGAAGCAAGACAGATGTTCAGGGGGAGATGTTTGATACACAGTTCGAAAAAGTAGTGTAAATTTCTGTTTAGTATGATGCACATAAATGGAGCGTCACATATCATATAAGTTTACATTATATATCATGTAAAGTTCTGAGACATTTCATGCAATGTAGCAAATATTGTATACAAAAGCCCATTGTTGTAAACAACATTGTTTACAAGTTGCTCGGTTGCGTGAAATGAAATACAAGTTTACGTGAATGAATGTTTACATCACTATTAATGTTCAGAATTTTTATCTGTGTAGTTTTCATCGGTGGTACAGTGCGGAAGGTACCTCTACTGCATCAGATCGTAGCTTGGTAGGCTTGGTGGTGTGTAATTAGAAGGTGGCAATCAGCAATACGATAGGCTTGGGTTATATCTTTGAGGACACGCACTTCTGAGTCGATCAGATGATTTAAAACTGGTTCGACGATGTTGCTCCTAGCGTGGGATTACACTATCGCTCGCTACAATTCTGGATTTACTTTAGTCGGGGAGGAATCAACAATTCAAAAGGACATCGAGCCAGAATCTTGTGGAATTTGCTTGAACACCGTATTGATTTGATGGTTTCCAGTTCCTCTTCCACCTCTTGACACGCTAACGCTCTAATGAGAATGAAGCTGAATGCTTGCCATCCATCCATCAGAGAAATTGAGAATGTAAACACAATTACAAAAGTCTTAGCTTTGAGTGTTGCCAAACTCATGGAATATTGACGCCTTGATAGGCATACTTTGATTGACCTTGACAGGCATGTTCGGCACCGCGCTTGGCATAGCTTTCTGTACAACTCAAGGGGTAAGTCACTCAGCACATTGTGCCGAAATTAGATTTGGCACACATCATCGTAGCCATTGGATTGTTGTAAATAAAATGGGAGTACTGTTGGACAATTGTCATTGAAGTTGTTCACAACCTTATGTGCTGTTTGACTGTATATTCAGGACCATCCTCTAATTGAATATACCAGAGGAACTCAGGCCAGTAGTTTGCTTATAGATCTAAATACGAAATGTAGGTTCTACAGTGGGCTCAAGAGAAAGAGGCAGTTAATCAGACCCCATTAGTACCCTTAATTCAAATAATGCTGCAACTCACACAAAACAAATTACAGAAGTCTATTCATCATCCTCTATACTCGGTCTCCAACAATGTTCCCCACCGGTTCCAACTCTTTCCGGCCGCTGTTAGACCGTTGCTTTCATACAACGAAAGGCTAGATTTCTGGTATGCCTTTGAGGGCATTATAAAACCCTAAAACACAGGTCTTTTATTATCCTATGAACTCAAAACACCAAAATTTCGGATACCCACCACTTCCTGCGTCATTCTCAATCCGATTTATCCTTTGCGATTTCAAACCAAAACATTCAAGGTGTCAGAAATACCGGGTTGCCGGGATGGATGTTTTACAAACAATTGCAGCTTGCTCTATAACCGGCACAATCGGCACACTTGCGGCACACGGACAAAAAAGATGACCCAAGATTGGTGTGCGGAGTGACCTACCCCTTAGTACAACTCAATTACTCGGCACGAATTAATGTGTGCAGAGTTGAATACCCCTAGTCAATACCTCTCTCTGGGGTTCTTCATTGGTTCAAACAAACTGCATTGGCAACCTATGCCTAGGAGATTTCTAGCAACACTGTCAATGTAATCAATATAGGCGCTGCTCGATTGGCTCCGGTTTTGACAGTTCGTTTAGCTCAAAACCTGCCAGTCTGCTTTCTGTTATACTAGACCCTCTCCAGTTTCAAGTACAGGTATACCTCCATATAACGTAACGGTTACTTTTGATTTTCATCATCGTTTTCTCGCAAACGGCCATTCAATCTTGCAACGTAAAAACACCATCAGATAGATGAGACAATCCTCCATCTATTGGTAATGTTGGTTTGAATGATTGAGTTGTTATTTGTGCGAAATCGACGATGATAGCCAAAACGGACAGTTACGTTATATCAAGGTATGGACCTTTTTGACGTTTGATCGTCATTTTCTATCTAGCACACACTGATTAATGGACGGTTTGTTTTCCCACTAATATGTTTTCCTCTTGCTCGCACTCGTTCGATTTAAATGGTGCAGTAGTGTGCGCCGATTAAACGTCAAAAATCTCTTTAATATTTATTAATCTAGCTATGTATTAAGCATTCATATGCCCCTCGGTATCCCCACGACTACGTTATTTGAGCCATTCCTCCTCCACTTCCCCTCTTTCAACCTAACTTCATTAATTGCCTACTTGAGAACACATTGATACGGAAAGAGTCTCGACCATCAACAACACGAGAGTAAAGCAAACGAAAATCTGTTGAAACATCGCTTTGCCATCGATTAAGATTGTATGATTTATGGTCCGTTAAATATTCGACTGAAACATTGTCCCCTCGCTCATAATGGGTTTTCCCTTTCAAACTGCAATAAACAAAACCTTTCACACTTTGTTTCGTTCCATTCAACAGGTCTGAAAATGGCACCCCTCTCGCAGATGGTTCAGTCCGACGGAACGCCATCGCCGTCATCCGGTGGAAGCAGCGGTGCACAACCCGGAGGAGAAGGAGGAGGAGCAGGAGTAGTGACTATGACACCGACAAATGGCAGTCCCCAACAACAGCACTCGGCCATGGGAACGGTCGTCGGCTCCGGAATGACGCACGGCTGCGGTAAGGTGATAACCGGTTATGCTGGTTCCCCGCTGGGTGGCAGCCATTCGGCAATGCTCACGGCGCAGCAGCTGCACCATCATCATCCGCATCATCCTCACCATCCGCACCACCACCATCATAATGGATCCAATTCGGGACTGAACACGGTGCTGACTTCGAACGTGCAGTACGAACATGGGAAATATGCTGCAAATTGATGGCGGGTTTATTTTTTTTTCTTCGGGGATCAAATAATGGGAGGTCAGCTCACAAAGATGGAAGGACGTTGCATGAATGGCTATTGGGTGGAATCTTACAGTACTAGTAGTGTAGGTGTAGTTATTAGGATTTTGTTTTTGCTTGATTGGAAAGGTTTGTAGCTGTTCTTTAGATACAGTTTTTTTCATAGTTGTAAATAAATGATGCCAAAGTAAAAAATGATTGTCTTTTTATTTCTTCCTTCTAAGATGCCGGCTAAAGAGTTGCCTCAACCGGGGATGATCTTGAAACAAAGAAAAAATGAGTTAGTTTGTCTTCAACTACAGTATCCCCCGCTAATCCAACGAATTTGTAACCGGATTAGCGGGGTTGATCCGATAATCCGACTGTCAAATCCATACAAATCAATGTTAATGATTTAGTTAACGAGTAAGTAATGTTTAATTATTTCTATGAATTTTCCGTTTTCAACTAGTGTAACGCGCGTCTCACAACCTAACCACTGAATACGCTTTGTGACTCAAGAATGAGTGGCTTAAGCGCCACCTCTAAGAGGACCATTTGTCCAGGTTAGATTTGCATTGTCACTGACAATTGACATGATATCCCTTTATACCCCGTACAGACTATTACCCTGTTCACATTACAGCCTATATCACGTAATATAGGCTGTCTTGCAATGAGCACTCATACATAGGATTTCCAGTGAAAACTAGATGTATGAGTGCTCATTGCAAGACAGCGTATATCACGTGATATACGCTGTAATGTGAACGGGGTATAAGCCATAGTCTGTCCGGGGTATTATACCCCGGACAGACTATGGCTTATATCATGTAATATAGGCTGTCTTGCGATGAGCACTCATACATCTAGTTTTCACTGGAAATCCTATGTATGAGTACTCATTGCAAGACAGTCTATATTACATGATATAAGCCATAGTCTGTCCAGGGTATTAGCAACAATCAATACGAAACTAACGATTTTAAATTGGCTCACTACTTGACTAGCCTATTGGTCCCAAGCAAACGATTAACGTATCCCATTCCAGTCGAAATTCTAGTACTACGCAATGTTTGTTTTGATTCACTATGAAAGTTTGACAGCTGAAATGAGGGGTTATTGGTTTTTCCCGAGTTTTTCCTATGTTTCGAGGGGTGAATCGATTAGCTTGGGACCGAAGAGAGTACCAGAGCTGAGCCAAAAAGTTGAGCACGTTATTTCGGGACCTTCTAGTCTTAGAGTTACCTCTATGGTATTAGGATGCTTTTTAGCTTGAGTGAGTGTCGCAAGCTGTTTTGTCAATATCGCCGTATACAGTGATGCCACATTTTATTGATTTTCAATCTGCATTTTCAGCGCAAAAAATCTTTTTAATATGTAGGTATCTAGCTGACAAAAATCTGTGAAAAAAAAAATCGGTAACAAGCTCGAAAATTTAGTGATGCCAAAATAGAACGGTTTTATTTTTAAATTTAATTTATGATTTCGATAATTATGAACCACCGTGAGTCATCTTTATTTCAAAGACGTTATTAATAATTATTCTTTTATTAAATTTTTTTTTATATCTTTATTAAGGAGACTTTCAGCCGTTGGCTGGCTCGTCTCCGATATTCTTTTATTAAAAATTGTAATCACATGGACATTATTTTCAAACCCCGTTCGATTTTGGCATGATGCTAAAATCGAACGGTTACTTCAATTTATTTATTATGGTCTCAGTGTGGATTTACCTAAATCTTCATTGAATTCGTTCATAGTTCAGAAGTAGTTTGTTAAATGTTTAAAATCTTGAAAAATGACTAAAGTTTGATTTCTAAAGAATTTACCTTTTTTTAAATCACGAAGTCCTATAATCTTGATTTATAAGTGATTTGTATATTTTCTACAATTTAGAAAATACAAAACGTTAAGTTCCAGTAGTAGTGAGAAACAAATCTGCTTCCAACGGAAAATTTTCTGGGTTTACTAAATTGACTAGTTTACCGATTTGACTTACAAATGAAGTTAATTAAATATTGTATCTGTAACATGGCTATGTAAACAAATAGAAAGGGAAACTAATATTCCTCCCAAAAATAAATCAATACATCTGAACATCACAAGTCCATTCAAAAGATTCCAAGCCCATTCGAAGATAATACAATTATATTTTGTTTAGTGAAAAATACATTTTGGATTTGATGCTCACAGATTGAATTCAAACTGCTGAAAAGTAAAAAAAAACAAGTAGGGGAAATGTATGTAATGTCGGCCTAAATGCACCTAATTTGACCGAATGAGCTGGCTCTCATACGAACAAGTTGAGTTTGTTTTTGCTCCGTTTTTTAACCGCTTAATTTTATCATCGTTTAGTGCGCGAATTTATTCGGAAGATTCCCCTTTGGGACAGTGAAGTGTTTGCCGTCGACCGATAGTGAAATAAATCACTGCTAATTCATCCCGACAGCGGTCCTTTTTTTCCACATCCTGCATGGCCAAGGTTTACGAACGGATGGTGAACCGTCGACTCAAGATGTTCCTTGAGACCAACAGCTTGCTCGACCACCGACAACATGCCTTTCGACAAGGTTTCGGTACGTCCACGTACTTTGCCACTCTGGGCGACGTGCTCAAGGAAGCTTACGATCAGGAACACCACGTTGAAATCATCTCTTTGGACATCTCCAAGGCTTTCAACCGGACGTGGACGCCAGCCGTCCTGAAAAAACTAAAAAACTGTGGCTTGAAGGGGCATATGATGTATTTCATACGAAACTTCTTGACCGTCCGGTCATTTCGTGTATTGGTGGGGAACACGCGGTCGAAAAGTTTCAGCGAGGAGACCGGAGTCCCTCAAGGCTCCGTTATCGCAGTCACGTTGTTTCTGGTGGCAATGAACGGGGTATTTGACCGGCTACTTGGGCGCATTTATATATTTGTTTACGCTGACGATGTGCTGATTGTGGCCTCCGGTCCTACACAGATCCGAACCCTACGGCAAGCGCAAGCGGCAGTCTCTGCCGTCGTCAAATGGACCGACTCGATGGGTTTCCAGCTATCCGCCAGGAAGAGCATCCGATGCCACGTATGTCCGTCTCAGCACCGAGTCAATAGCACCCCAATTACGATCCACGAGCAAGCCATTCCAAACAGGAAAACAGTTCGCGTCCTCGGCGTACTGATCGACCGAACGCTCTCCTTCGACCAGCATTTCCAACAGGTCGAAAAGGACTGCCGTAGTAGACTCAACCTCGTTAAAACGATCTCTCGGCCTCACCGATCCAACAACCGCGATGTTCGGTTCCGGGTGGCGCAAGCCATTATTGACAGTAGGTTGCTTTACGGGACGGAAATTACTTGCATCGCTTCCGAGAAGCTGATTAGAACCCTAGCACCAGTCTACAACAGCTACATCCGCATCATATCTGGTCTCCTGCCATCCACTCCAGCAGACGCCGCATGCATCGAAGCGGGTCTTCTTCCTTTCCGGTTCTGCTTAAACGCAAATATTGCCACAAAAGCCGCCGCCTTTTCCGCCAAGACCTCCGGAAACAATAGGATCTTTCTCCTCGACGAGGGGAACAGAGTCCTCCGCACGGCCGCCGACATCGACCTCCCCCCAGTGGCCAAAGTCCATTGGCATGGAGAGAAAAGTTGGCACTCTTCACGAATCCAATTGGACAATCGGATCAAGAACCGCTTCAAAGCAGGGGATGCATCCATCATTTTGCGCAGATCGGTCGCCGAGGTACTTGGGTCCAACTATGCCGACCACGTACATCGGTACACCGACGGCTCCCGATCGATATAACGGAGTAGGTATCGGGATTTTTGGAGACGGTATTGCTGAAAGCAGCAGTCTTCCTCCACAATGCTCGGTTTTTTCGGTCGAGGGTGCAGCGATCTTCCGTGCCGCTACGACGCCAGCCAACAAACCGATACTTATATTAACCGACTCACACAGCGTCGTTCAAGCGATCACCTCGGAAGCACCAAAACACCCATGGATCCAGGCGATTATCAAGTACGCCCCACCGAACACCGTGTACACATGGATTCCCGGACACTGCGGAGTGCCAGGTAACGAGTCTGCAGATCACCTTGCCGGAGCCGGGACATCGGGACCCAGACTCACCAACAAGGTACCCCTACAGGACGTCAGATGGTGGATCATGCGGACCATTCGAGCGGCATGGAAAGCTGAGTGGTTCCGCAACAGAACTGCCTTCATCCGCAAAGTAAAAGGGTCAACTGAACCATGGAGAGAACTGGACAACCTGAGGGATCAACGCGTGATTTCGCGGCTTCGAACCAGGCACACTAAACTCTACTATAACTATGGTGGCCTGCCGTTCCGCAGAAGCTGCATTATCTGTGGGGTACCCTACACCGTCGAACACATCCTGTGCAACTGCCTGGAGTTCCAAAATCTTCGGGAGTCACTCTGCCTAACTTCCAGTATCAGCGATCTGCTCGGGAATGATACTTCGGCCTCGGCAGCACTAGTAACCTTCTTAAAAGAAGCCAAAATCTACCACTTGGTATAGCAGGAATTTCTTTCGGCCGTCGGGACATCTCAGCTGGATGGATTTCCCCTATTGGACCCATGCCAGCTGAGCTCTGTTTTGTTAGGATTAATCGTTTGTACCTTGTCTTAAATCATTTTGTTTTCTGTTGTTCCTCTGTTTCATCATTTTATATATTGTTATTTTTTCATATAAGTTGAAGAGCCAGCAACCAAAGTTATTAACTAAATGTTAATATACCATGTATCCAGAGGTTACTCACTCTGAGCCCTCTCCTTTCTTCGGAGATGAACTAGCCATAGGCTAAAAATCTCCTTAATAAAAAACTGAAAAAAAAAAATAATTGGGCCCATACATAAATTCAGCAATTGACTAAATTGTCAATAGCGACCAAAAATATTCATTAGTGCCATCCCAATGACGCGTTCATCTAGATAAAATTGATAAATAGCAGATTTTTAGCGATGAGCCCCATCTTAGATCCATAGATCAACATTAGAGCCATTTCCCCTATTGATCAGAATTAATCAATTATAAAAATAATATAAAAAATATTCTCTTTATTTAAAAAATCTGTATATTTTTCAAA